GTCTACAGTCTAGTCATTAGTCGAGTCTATAGTCGAGTCTGTAGTCTAGTCTATAGTCTAGTCTTTAGATAGTCTAATTTATAGCCTAGATTATAGTCTAAAGTCTAGTCTATAGTCTAGTCTATAGTCCTAGTCTATAGTGTAGTCTATAGTGTAGTCTAGTCTATAGTCTAGTCTATAGTCTAGTCTATAGTCTAGTCTATAGTCTAATCTATAGTCTAGTCTATAGTCAAGTCTACAGTCTAGTCTATAGTCTAGACTATAGTCTATTCTATAGTCTAGTCTATAGTCTAGTCTATAGTCTAGTCTATAGTCTAGTCTATAGTATAGTCTATAGTCTAGTCTGGTCTAGTTTAGTCTAGTCTATACTCTATAGTCTATATTCTTTAGTCTAGTCTATAGTCTAGTCTATAATCTGGTCTATAGTCTAGTCTATAGTCTTGTCTATAGTCTTGTCTGTAGTCTGGTCTATAGTCTAGTCTATAGTCTAGTCTATAGTCTAGTCTATAGTATAGTCTATAGTATAGTCTATAGTCTAGTCTATTGTCTAGTCTGTAGTAGTCTAGTCTAGTCTATAGTCTAGTCTATAGTCTAGTCTATAGTCTAGTCTATAGTCTAGTCTATAGTCTAGTCTATAGTCTAGTCTATAGTCTAGTCTATAGTCTAGTCTATAGTCTAGTCTATAGTCTAGTCTATAGTCTAGTCTATAGTCTAGTCTATAGTCTAGTCTATAGTCTAGTCTATAGTCTAGTCTATAGTCTAGTCTATAGTCTAGTCTATAGTCTAGTCATAGTCTAGTCTATAGTCTAGTCTATAGTCTAGTCTATAGTCTAGTCTATAGTCTAGTCTATAGTCTAGTCTATAGTCTAGTCTATAGTCTAGTCTATAGTCTAGTCTATAGTCTAGTCTATAGTCTAGTCTATAGTCTAGTCTATAGTCTAGTCTATAGTCTAGTCTATAGTCTAGTCTATAGTCTAGTCTATAGTCTAGTCTATAGTCTAGTCTATAGTCTAGTCTATAGTCTAGTCTATAGTCTAGTCTATAGTCTAGTCTATAGTCTAGTCTATAGTCTAGTCTATAGTCTAGTCTATAGTCTAGTCTATAGTCTAGTCTATAGTCTAGTCTATAGTCTAGTCTATAGTCTAGTCTATAGTCTAGTCTATAGTCTAGTCTATAGTCTAGTCTATAGTCTAGTCTATAGTCTAGTCTATAGTCTAGTCTATAGTCTAGTCTATAGTCTAGTCTATAGTCTAGTCTATAGTGTAGTCTATAGTGTAGTCTATAGTGTAGTCTATAGTCTAGTCTATAGTCTAGTCTATAGTCTAGTCTATAGTCTAGTCTATAGTCTAGTCTATAGTCTAGTCTATTATCTAGTCTATAGTCTAGTCTATAGTCTAGTCTATTATCTAGTCTATAGTCTAGTCTATAGTCTAGTCTATAGTCTAGTCTATAGTCTAGTCTATAGTCTAGTCTTTAGTCTAGTCTATAGTCTAGTCTATAGTCTAGTCTATAGTCTAGTCTATAGTCTAGTCTATAGTCTAGTCTATAGTGTAGTCTATAGGCTAGTCTATAGTCTAGTCTATAGTCTAGTCTATAGTCTAGTCTATAGTCTAGTCTATAGTCTAGTCTATAGTCTAGTCTTTAGTCTAGTCTATAGTCTAGTCTATAGTCTAGTCTATAGTCTAGTCTATAGTCTAGTCTATAGTCTAGTCTACAGTCTAGTCTATAGTCTAGTCTACAGTCTAGTCTATAGTCTAGTCTACAGTCTAGTCTATAGTCTAGTCTATAGTCTAGTCTATAGTCTAGTCTATAGTCTAGTGTATAGTCTAGTCTACAGTCTACTCTATAGCTTAGTTTATAGTCTAGTCTATAGTCTAGTCTGTAGTCTAGTCTATAGTCTAGTCTATAGTCTAGTCTAGACTATAGACTAGTCTAGTCTACAGTCTAGTCTATAGTCTAGTCTATAGTCTAGTCTATAGTCTAGTCTATAGTCTAGTGTATAGTCTAGTCTACAGTCTACTCTATAGCTTAGTTTATAGTCTAGTCTGTAGTCTAGTCTATAGTCTAGTCTATAGTCTAGTCTAGACTATAGACTAGTCTAGTCTATAGTCTAGTATATAGTTTAGTCTATAGTCTAGTCTATAGTCTTGTCTATAGTCTAGTATATAGTCTAGTCTATAGTCTAGTCTATAGTCTAGTCTATAGTCTAGTCTATAGTCTAGTCTATAGTCTAGTCTATAGTCTAGTCTATAGTCTAGTCTATAGTCTACTCTATAGTCTTGTCTATAGTCTAGTCTACAGTCTAGTCTATACTCTAGTCTATAGTCTAGTCTACAGTCTAGTCTACAGTCTAGTCTATAGCTTAGTTTATAGTCTGTAGTCTAGCCTATAGTCTAGTCTATAGTCTAATCTATAGTCTAGTTTATAGTCTACAGTCTAACGTCTAACTATAATCTAGTCTATAGTATAATCTATAGCCTATTCTATAGTGTAATCTTTAGTCTAGTCTATAGTCTATTTATAGTCTACAGTCTAGTCTAGTCTATAGTCTAGTCTATAGTCTAGTGTATAATCTAGTCTATAGTCTAGTCTACAGTGTAGTCTATAGTCTATTCTATAGTTTAGTCTATAGTCTAGTCATTAGTCGAGTCTATAGTCTAATCTATAGTCTAGGTTATAGTCTAGTCTATAGTCTAGTCTGTTGTCTAGTCTATTAATATCTTTTAGTTGGGTGCATAGTCTGGTCTATTGTCTAGTCTAGTCTATAGTCTAGTCTATAGTCTAATATATAGTCTAGTCTATAGTGCAATCTATAGTCTAGCTTATAGTATAGTGTAGTTTACAGGTAGTTAGACGTTAAATTAAATTAATGTCAGTTAAATATTCCAGTGCAGATGTGTATGTATTTATTAATATAAAACAGTTGTTTTTTTTTCCCAAATTAACAGGTAGTTTTCTTTATTACCTTTGCTAATAATTAAATCTTTTCAGCAAATAGGTAGTTCCATTTAAAAGCACTTAAAACACACAGAAAATTAGCAAGTTAGCAGCACTACAATTGAGATATAACAAAAAAGTAAGAAAAAATATGTTATTTTTAACAACACAAAACCGATGTTCTGTTTTGTTTGCTCTTTCGTTTTAGTTATCATGTGTGTAATTGTTGTGTGATATTGGGTTTGTACATGAATGTGTGCTATTCGTTATACTACTAAAAGTGTTAGGTTAGTTTTACGATAACCTTTAAAGGCAATGGATAAATTTCGTTTGATCGCTGAAATGCGCAAAAGACCGGTTTTGTGGAATTTTAAATATACGGCATACTACACTATGGATGAAATAGCGAAAAAATGGAAAGAGCTTGCGAAAAGTCTTGGTGATGATGGTAATTAAACAATATTTAGTTTTGAAATCAAATAGGTACCTTTGTACCTATTTACATGTACATAGTATATGTATCTGAATTTTTAATATTTCGTTATTTTTGTGCAGTTACTGTAGAAGATTGCAAAATAACATGGCAACGTTTACGCAATAATTATCGTAAGTGCAAATATCGTACACGTCAACGTATAGAGAGAGATAAACGAGACGGTAAATATCATCCTAAGAAGAATTACGGCTGCAAGTGGATTTATATGAAACCCATTGAATTTTTTTATACAAACTTGTCAACTGTAGAGCATCTAGATAGAGAGATTGAAAATAGAAGAAAAGTAGAAGATCGTATGATATTAAATTCTTCCAGAAATGATAATAACATATCATCCCACAGTAGTCTGGAAGACATTACTTACTATGAAATAAGTTTGTTAGACGATAATTCAGATGAAGAGGAGTTTTTGAATTGTCAGGAATTCTTTGAACGATATACTAAAAACAACCAAAGTCGTTTAAATAAGAATTCAACGCCCCAGCAAAAGCCTAGCTATGCCACAAATGAAGATATTCCAAAGCATAATTATTTTTTAAACGAAATGCCATCGAATAGTAGTGAACCGCAAAGTTCTTACTATCAAATACATTTTATAGAGGATACTGATGAAACGAAACCTATAATGAGTTCCAACAATTTAAATAGTCAGAAAAGTGAACAACTTGATCAGGTTATTGATATTAAAGGGGAACCGGTTCTTGATATCGAGGAGGATTCATATCCCTTTTTAGAGGGGAAAAGTCAAGAAGATGAATTTCTGTCAATGGAACCACAAAGCCAGACTTCAACACTTCAGCAAAATGAAGTTAAATCACTTGAACCTGAAAGTCTAGACAAAAATTCAACACCAAAGCAAAAAGATGAAAACTTATTAATAAAAGTGAATAAGAATGTTAGGCAACATTCCAGGTCCACAATACATGAAAATATTGCTGATTCAGATTATAATTTTTTGATCAGCTTTTTGTCACACATGAAAACTTTGAATACTTTGCAAAATTTACAATTTCGTGCTAAAATGTCTGATTTAATATTAAATTTTCTAACGATTGTTAAAGAATTTAAAACACCAGAATGTAAAAGAAAGGTATTGGAGATGGATATTAGTGATCCAGATTGTAATTTCTTAATTAGCTTTTGGCCTTTTATGAAATCGTTGACTCAATTGCAGAATTTACAATATCGTGCTAAGGTGACTCATTTAATTATTGATATTTTGTCTAAAGATAAAATGTTAAATTAGTATTGGTTTATTAAAAGTAACCAATTTATTATTTAGAACTAATATTAAGTTTTATCTTTAACTTATAATATTTACAACAATAATAAAGAATATATTTCAAAAATTGTTAAAATTTTAATATATTTTATTGCAAAATTAGAAGATAAGTTTATGAAGGAATGCACTCTTAATAGAGAATATAAACTTTGCAATATGTCGAAATCCTGAGATGAAGTTATACTTTTTAAAGGAGCCGTGCTGAATATCTATCCATCTATCTATCTATCTATCTATCTATCTATCTATCTATCTATCTATCTATCTATCTATCTATCTATCTATCTATCTATCTATCTATCTATCTATCTATCTATCTATCTATCTATCTATCTATCTATCTAATCTATCTATCTATCTATCTATCTATCTATCTATCTATCTATCTATCTATCTATCTATCTATCTATCTATCTATCTATCTATCTATCTATATATCTATCTATCTATCTATCTATCTATCTACCTATCTATCTATCTATCTATCTATCTATCTATCTATCTATCTATCTATCTATCTATCTATCTATCTATCTATCTATCTATCTATCTATCTATCTATCTATCTATTTATTTATCTATCTATCTATTTATCTATCTATTTATCTATATATCTATCTATCTATCTATCTATCTATCTATCTATCTATCTATCTATCTATCTATCTATCTATCTATCTATCTATCTATTTATCTATCTATCTATCTATCTATCTATCTATCTATCTATCTATCTATCTATCTATCTATCTATCTATCTATCTATTTACCTATCTATCTATCTATCTATCTCTCTATCTATCTATCTCTCTATCTATCTATCTATCTCTATCTATCTATCTATCTATCTATCTATCTATCTATCTATCTATCTATCTATCTATCTATCTATCTATCTATCTATCTATCTATCTATCTATCTATCTATCTATCTATCTATCTATCTATCTATCTATCTATCTATATATCTATCCATTTATATATCTATCTATCTATCTATCTATCTATCTATCTATCTATCTATCTATCTATCTATCTATCTATCTATCTATCTATCTATCTATCTATATCTATCTATCTATCTATCTATCTATCTATCTATCTATCTATCTATCTATCTATCTATCTATCTATCTATCTATCTATCTATCTATCTATCTATCTATCTATCTATCTATCTATCTATCTAGCTAACTATCTACCAATGAAAACATGCACATGTGTGTATGTTTTTGTTATTATAAGTTTAGTATACAGTTTATTTCTATGAAAATATCATTAACAGGTAGATTTCTGAACAAAACAAGCCACTCCAACGGTCATTTTTGCCTTTCCTATTATATTTAATCTACCTACTAAAAAAGCACCAAATACACAAAAAATTGCAACAAGTTAACAACACTAAAAATGAGAAATAACAAAAAAGATGAAAAAATGTGTTATTTTTAACAACACAAATTCAACCGATGTTCTGTTTTGTTCGTTCATTCGAGTTGTCTGTTATCATGTGTGTAATTGTTGTTATTGTGTTGGTACACGATTGTGCGCTGTTTGTTATATGCATGTGTATTAAACTAAAAGTGTTAGCTCAGTTTTGTTATAACCTTTGAAAGTGATGGACAAATTTCGTTTAATCGCTGAAGTACACAAAAGACCCATATTGTGGAATTTGCAGCTTACAGAGAGGCCGCTACATGAAATAGCTGATAACTGGAAAGAGATTGCGAAAAGTCTTGGTGATGATGGTAATTGAATAGAATATAGTTTCTAAACTAATTATAGGTATTCATACATAACGGCAATTTTAATATTTATATCCATTTTTTAACAGTTACTGCGGACGATTGCAAAGGTATATGGAAAGGTTTACGTGATGCTTATCGTGTAATTAAATATCGCAAACGAAGTCGTATGAAGAGAGATAAGCGATGCGGTAAATACGATCCTAACAAAGATTACAGCAGTAAGTGGGTGTATTCTGAACCCATGAAATTTTTAGATGGATATTCAAAGTGTTCAAGGGATAGCGATTCCGATCAGGGTACAAAATTGGTAACGGTGGAAAATAACAAACATGTTATTATTGAAAATCAGAGAGAACTAAGTAAAGATTGTATGAATTTGAATTCTCCCCTAAATGATGATAATATATCATCTCACAGTAGCCCTTCAAAAACTTTATCCAATGAAAAAGACCTGTTAGACGATTCTGATGAAGATGATTTATTAAAGCGTCTGAAATCCTGTGAACAATATACTCGAAGAGATGAAAATAAAGTCTCATATATTAGACAAAATCGAAAAGAAATTAAACGTAAATCACCTAGATGCCAAAGTCGTTTAAACAAAAGTTCAACGCCCCAGCAAAAGTCTAGTAATACAACAAATGAAAATTCTCTAAACCAGAATTGCCTAAATGAAAGTGATTTTATACCATCGTACAGTAAAAAACCGCAAAGTTCTTACTATCAAATAAATTTTATTGAAGAGACTGATGAGGAGGAAACAATAATGAGATCACAACATAACCAATATCCTACAGCTGACATAAAAGAAGAACCACCACTTGATATCGAGACGGTTTCGCATTCCTTGGTCGAGGAAGAAGAGAAAAGGCAAGACAATGAAGTTCAAACGCCTAAACCTCAAAGTCTGGATAGAAGTTCAACACTTAAACAAAATGAAGTTCATTCAGTTAAACCTCAAAGTCTAGCTAAAAATTCAAAGCGACAGCAAACGCGTAATTTGCATGGAAATACTCAAAAAGATGAAAATCTACCAATAACATTGAATGAAAATAATAATAGGCAACATTCCAGAACAACAGTTCAACAAGATGTTGGCGATCCAGATTGTAATTTTTTGATCAGCTTTTTGTCTCACATGAAATCATTAACCGCTCTACAAAATCTACAGTTTCGTGTTCAAATGTCTGATTTAATATTAAGTTTTCTAACGAATTCTTCTTCTGCTAATGAATCTAAAGCATCAGATGGTAATACAAAGATATCAGCGTTAGATATAAGCGATCCAGATTGTAATTTCTTAATGAGTTTTTGGCCCTATATGAAATTGTTGACTCATTTGCAGAATTTACAATATCGTGCCAAGATGTCCCATTTAATGATTGATATTTATTCTAAAAATGAAATCTCAAATGATATTTAAATGTAGTATATATTTTTAACAAATTACTACTTTGTAGTTAGTAACTAGTTTTAATTTTTCCATTAATTTATAATAGCTATAGTTAATACAACCATTTATTTTATTTTTTAAAAATAAACAATAAAAATACAAATTAATTAATATTCAAAATAGATTTTCAAGACTTTTAATTTGAAAATAAAGAAGGTATAAGTTCATGGATAATATAATATAACTATCTATCTAACTAACTAACTAACTAACTAACTAACTAACTAAAAATACAAATTAATTAATATTCAAAATAGATTTCAAGACTTTTAATTTGAAAATAAAGAAGGTATAAGTTCATGGATAATATAATATAACTATCTATCTATCTAACTAACTAACTAACTAACTAACTAACTAACTAACTAACTAACTAACTAACTAACTAACTAACTAACTAACTAACTAACTAACTAACTAACTAACTAACTAACTAACTAACTAACTAACTAACTAACTAACTAACTAACTAACTAACTAACTAACTAACTAACTAACTAACTAACTAACTAACTAACTAACTAACTAACTAACTAACTAACTAACTAACTAACTAACTAACTAACTAACTAACTAACTAACTAACTAACTAACTAACTAACTAACTAACTAACTAACTAACTAACTAACTAACTAACTAACTAACTAACTAACTAACTAACTAACTAACTAACTAACTAACTAACTAACTAACTAACTAACTAACTAACTAACTAACTAACTAACTAACTAACTAACTAACTAACTAACTAACTAACTAACTAACTAACTAACTAACTATCTATCTATCTATCTATCTATCTATCTATCTATCTATCTATCTATCTATCTATATATTTATCTATCTATCTATTTATCTATCTATCTATCTATCTATCTATCTATCTATCTATCTATCTATCTATCTATCTATCTATCTATCTATTTATCTATCTATCTATCTATCTATCTATCTATCTATCTATCTATCTATCTATCTATCTATCTATCTATCTATCTATCTATCTATCTATCTATCTATCTATCTATCTATCTATCTATCTATCTATCTATCTATCTATCTATCTATCTATCTATCTATCTATCTATCTATCTATCTATCTATCTATCTATCTATCTATCTATCTATCTATCTATCTATCTATCTATCTATCTATGTATCTATCTATCTATCTATCTATCTGTCATCAAGTTCTTCTTTTTAACAAAAAATTTGGTACAAAATCCAAGAAAAAGGTACAATATTCTATTGATATTATTTTTGGGATACATTTTGGAGACTGACTTCTGATGATAGGGACTATGTATGTACATATGCATAGTTCCTCGGGGAAATTTGTTAAATTTTTTCCCTATCTACCTAATACTTTAAAAGGTAAAATATGTATCACTAATATTGTACAAATTACCAACGAAATGCAGAATTAATTAAAAATTATTTAAAACAAAACTTTATTGCAAACTGTACCCGCTCTGCTGTTATTAGTTGAACAACAACAATTTAGCGAATAATAACAAAAAGAAATTCTCTATATTTAAAAAAAAAACACAAACAAGCCGTGTGAGATAGGGAGAAAACATGATTAGTTTCGTTAAGTTTTTTCTCAATGCTGCCAGCAAGTATTTGAATGTGTGTGTGTAAATTTATTCGTTATATTTCGTTGTCGCTTTGATTGTTTTTCGTCTTTTCGTCGTAGCAAATGCATGTTTGTGCTCGAAACATTGCTCAACGATAAGAGTTTAGTTGAGCGAAAAATTTCAAACGCAATGGATGTACATCGTTTAATCGCTGAAATACAAAATAGGCCGGCTTTGTGGGATGTGAGGCATGGGGATCATAAGGCCCGTCATTGTGTTAACAAATTATGGCAAGAAATTGCAGAGGAAGTAGGGGCAGATGGTGAGTACTTGTATGATTTATTATTATTAAAATTAGAGTTTCAAATGTTTTTGTTGTTCAAAAATTTATACTACATACATCCATAAATAAATACTTTTTCTTCTCTTTTGCCTTTTCATTTGCTGTGTGTGTGTGTCACTGTGCATGCCAAACAAACAAAATTGTATATTGTGCTAATTTTGTTTAACTTTAAAGTTGATCAATGCAAACGCAAGTGGAAAAATTTGCGCGATGCTTATCGTGCTGAAGTTAGACGTTCACAGCGTCGTATTGAAAGAGACAAATTAAGTGGTGACTATGATCCGAATACAAACTACAATAGCAAATGGGCCTACTTTCCCAGCATGAGTTTCATCAGTGACAATAGGCTCAATAGTTGTTATAATATTGAGCTTGAAAATAGCAGTTCAAATTCCAATGACAATAATCACGACGATATTGAACAACACCATTACAATGACAGCATGTATAATGACAATTTTCCCAATGTTTGTAATATTAAGCAAGAACCCTCACACAATGATATGGATCATAAACAACATAATTTGCATGATGGAATACGCCTAGTAGATGAAGGCGATGATGATACTGCCAATGATATGCTTTTTGAAGAATTTCAAAATATTGCCACTCCTCAAGCGGCTCGACGTTTATCGGCTACTCTATCTCTAAATCAATCACCCGAACAACATTTTCCTCAACCGCAAGAGAATCATAAGCCTAGCACTTCAACACCTCACAACTGTAAGTGTTCGCAACGCACTGAGGATCGAGTTCATTTCTTGGAAGATCTTGGCAAAGAGGAACAAAAACTTATGAAATCCACAAGACAAGATATAACTCGTGCCAATAAACTAGATCATGTTGGTGATTCGGATTATAACTTTTTGGCTAGTTTTCTGCCTCAAATGAAGAAAATGTCAGAGTTGCAGAATCTTCAATTTCGTGCTAAAATGTGTGAGATGGTATTGAATATTATGACACCAACGACAGCTGTTGTGGAGTACCGTAACGCCGGGGCGATGGAGCCGGAGGGATCACTTCAAAATACGGGCAATATGCAGCAAGATTCTATGAATACTTAAATTATTTTCTATAAAATTTATATCTTTAATGTTAATATAATTTCTTTACTATATAATTGATTTGCTTTAAGGTCTTTTATTTAAATTAGTTGGAAAATATATAGAATATATGTATAGAATAAAACGATTAATGAGCGTGATAGAGGGACTTTATATATAATATGAAGTTAGATCGGGAATTGGCATGAAATGCTTGACATCTTGGCTGAGTATAAGAAATTATGATGATACCTGGCTTTTTAGATCATCCTGATAATGAACGAGTCAATAGGGTCAAGCGAAGCCTATTTACCGGGCCAGATTCTTTATTTTGTCTAACTCATGTATTTGCTTGGGACATGCATTAAACCAGGATCAGTTTTTTCAACAGTGTTGAATATAATTTGGGGTAAGATAAAAACTGTAGGTAAACTCCGTAGATTATAAGATGAAATATCGGAATCGGACTAGGTTCTCTTAGTGCGCGATATAAACGATTCTCAGGAAGTTTTAAGCCAGGAATGTAAGATTAAAATTTAGTCAATAGGCTAGTATATAGTCTAGTCCATCAAGACTATTCCATAGGAAACTAAATAGACTACTAAAGAGAATAGCCAATAGACTTGTCAGTAGACTAGTCCATAGTCTAGTCCACAGACTAATAAATATAGTTCCTAGTTCCTTCACTAATCCATAAAAAGTAAATAGAATAGTCAATGGAATAGTAGTCTATTCCATGAACTATTGTATAGACTAGTCCATAGTTTAGTACATAATTTAGTCTATAGACTAGTCAATGGACTAGTACATACTGTAGTCCGTCGATAAGCAATAAAATAGGCCCTAGACTTGTATATAGTCTAGTTCACTGACTTGTCCGTAGACTAGTCCATGCAATAGTCCACAGTCTAATAAATAGACTAATTGACAGAAAAGTCAATAGACAAGTCTGTAGTCTGGTTAATAGACTGATCTACAGTCCAGTCAATAGACCATAGAATATAAAATAGACTACTAAATAGAAAAGTCAATAGACTAGTCCATAGTCTAGTCCACAGACTAATAAATAGAGTAGTTCATGGATAAGTAAATAGACTAGTCTATGGAGAAGCCATGTACTATATTATATTTAGAGTAGTCTATAGTATAATACATAGTATAAACTATAGACTAGCCTATAGGCTAGTACATGTTATACCCAGTTTAATAGTTCATAGTCTAGTCCGTAAACTAGACAATAGAATATTAATTAATTCACTAATAGTATAGTCAATAGACTAGTCCATTGTCTAGTCAATAGAATAGTATAAAATTGTTCATAGACTAAGAATGGGCATTCATCCTCTGAGAGGCGATATCATGACGTATATATATTATAAACGGCACACATTTCTCGAATTTCCGGCAATTATCTTTTCGGTGAAATTTCGGGAATTTTATTAAAAGATTTTTTCATAAGGTTACAAGAAAATGTCAAATAAATATTGTATAAATTTGGATTTAGAAAGATTCTTTATGTGTCAAAGTATACCAAATAGATCCACCGATAGCCTAAGTCGACTAACTTATACAACGCTTAAAAAAGTTTTGATTTGTATATAATTCTTTCAATAAAACTTATTATTTTAACACTTTATGTTAGATAATATTTTGAATCCCTAAATATTTAAACAAGTCCTAGCTAATCCAATTATAAGCTTCTCTAGAGCTGTAAAAACAAATATTATAAGCAAAAGAGATTTTTTGTCGGCTTTTCAGAAGATTATACTAGAGAATTATAGATCAAAACATTTGCAAACTATAAATAACAAACTCATTATCCAAACTAATGAATTGAAATTCCTTAAGGGGAAAACCCTTTTTTCCCAAAACCGAAATGACACATGCTCATAAACAAATATTGATTGAAATTCCTCAAAAGTCATGAAAACAAGAAAACAAAACAACAAGTGTTTGCACGATCGACACGAGAAAAACTCCCAGAATATCTTTGTTTTTTTTCTAAAAGGAAATAGTATGTAGATAATTCTTTTCTATTAAAATTAATAGAGTTTCTTTCTAAATATTACGGATGGTTCATTGGTTGGTTGGTTGGTTTAACAAAGCGACAGTGTGCACATTAACTAAATTATGTGAATTTTAACACCTGAACGTTAAAGAATGCAGAATGCTGCAGCAGCAGCAAAAGAATTACAATAAAGATGCATGTGGCATGTTGCACTTGTGCAAATACACAAACACACACTCACATACATGAACAAAAGAGGTGGATTTTTAAAAGGTGAACATCATCATTATCGTGTTAAAGATGATTAAGAAAACTCTAAACAATGTGTTAAAGTGATGTTAAATTTGCATTTAACCCACAAAAAAAATGGCAAAGATCCCAAGAGAACATATGAACGGGAATAAAGAAACCAATAATACCAACAACTTATGTGGATATATCTATTATATTTTATTAAATCTTGTCTTTATACTATCATAATACTGATGATGGTAACTTAGGTAGAACGACGACAACGCGTCGTCTTCAACTTGACTGAATGACTGCCGTGTTAGTCAGGCAGCTTAGACACGAAAGATATGAATATAATGATGGTATGATGGGTTGGGAATTTATAGGAATTTAACATGGCATTAAAGAAACGGCAACAACAACACGAATAAAACAAAGTTCAGTTATGGTTGACTAAAGGTATGCGAAACATTATTAACACTTTTATGGTTATTTAATGATTTTTTTCATTATATTATCTTCTATTCTTTTAGTGGCATGTAAATACTAAAGTAGTCTTTGGTAAAGTGCAAAGTTGCCGACAACACTGGGAAAAATAATTAAGTACAAATAATGTCTAATCTATAGTCAAGCATATAATCTAGTCTACAGTCTAGTCAATAGACTCGTCTATAATCTAGTCAATAGACTAGTCTATAATCTAGTTTACAGTCTAGTCTATAGACTAGTCTATAATCTAGTCTACAGTCTAGTCTATAGTTTAGTCTAAAGCTTAGTCTATAGTCTAGTCATTAGTATAGTCTATAGTCTAGTCTATAGTCTAGTCTATAGTCAAGTCTATAGTCTAGTATACAGTCTAGTCTATAGTCTAGTCTATAGTCTAGTCTACAGTCTAGTCTATAGTCTAGTCTATAGTCTAGTCTATAGTCTAGTCTATAGTCTAGTCTATAGTCTAGTCTATAGTCTAGACTATAGTCTAGTCTATAGTCTAGTCTATAGTCTAGTCTATAGTCTAGTCTATAGTCTAGTCTATAGTCTAGTCTATAGTCTAGTCTATAGTCTAGTCTATAGTCTAGTCTATAGTCTAGTCTAGTCTATAGTCTAGTCTATAGTCTAGTCTATAGTCTAGTCTATAGTCTAGTCTATAGTCTAGTCTATAGTCTAGTCTATAGTCTAGTCTATAGTCTAGTCTATAGTCTAGTCTATAGTCTAGTCTATAGTCTAGTCTATAGTCTAGTCTATAGTCTAGTCTATAGTCTAGTCTATAGTCTAGTCTATAGTCTAGTCTATAGTCTAGTCTATAGTCGTCTATAGTCTAGTCTATAGTCTAGTCTATAGTCTAGTCTATAGTCTAGTCTATAGTCTAGTCTATAGTCTAGTCTATAGTCTAGTCTATAGTCTAGTCTATAGTCTAGTCTATAGTCTAGTCTATAGTCTAGTCTATAGTCTAGTCTATAGTCTAGTCTATAGTCTAGTCTATAGTCTAGTCTATAGTCTAGTCTATAGTCTAGTCTATAGTCTAGTCTATAGTCTAGTCTATAGTCTAGTCTATAGTCTAGTCTATCTAGTCTATAGTCTAGTCTATAGTCTAGTCTATAGTCTAGTCTATAGTCTAGTCTATAGTCTAGTCTATAGTCTAGTCTATAGTCTAGTCTATAGTCTAGTCTATAGTCTAGTCTATAGTCTAGTCTATAGCTAGTCTATAGTCTAGTCTATAGTCTAGTCTATAGTCTAGTCTATAGTCTATAGTCTAGTAGTCTAGTCTATAGTCTAGTCTATAGTCTATAGTCTATAGTCTAGTCTATAGTCTAGTCTATAGTCTAGTCTATAGTCTAGTCTATAGTCTAGTCTATAGTCTAGTCTATAGTCTGTCTATAGTCTAGTCTATAGTCTAGTCTATAGTCTAGTCTATAGTCTAGTCTATAGTCTAGTCTATAGTCTAGTCTCTAGTCTAGTCTATAGTCTAGTCTATAGTCTAGTCTATAGTCTAGTCTATAGTCTAGTCTATAGTCTAGTCTAAAGTCTAGTCTAGTCTACTCTACAGTCTAGTCTAAAGTCTAGTCTATAGTCTAGTCTAAAGTCTAGTCTAAGTCTACTCTAAAGTCTAGTCTAAAGTCTAGTCTAATCTAGTCTAAAGTCTAGTCTATAGTCTAGTCTAAAGTCTGGTCTATAGTCTAGTCTGTAGTCTAGTCTATAGTCTAGTCTATAGTCTAGTCTGTAGTCTAGTCTATAGTCTAGTCTATAGTCTAGTCTATAGTCTAGTCTATAGTCTAGTCTATAGTCTAGTCTATAGTCTAGTCTATAGTCTAGTCTATAGTCTAGTCTATAGTCTAGTCTATAGTCTAGTCTATAGTCTAGTCTATAGTCTAGTCTATAGTCTAGTCTATAGTCTAGTCTATAGTCTAGTCTATAGTCTAGTCTATAGTCTAGTCTATAGTCTAGTCTATAGTCTAGTCTATAGTCTAGTCTAGTCTAGTCTATCTAGTCTATAGTCTAGTCTATAGTCTAGTCTATAGTCTAGTCTATAGTCTAGTCTATAGTCTAGTCTATAGTCTAGTCTATAGTCTAGTCTATAGTCTAGTCTATAGTCGTCTATAGTCTAGTCTATAGTCTAGTCTATAGTCTAGTCTATCTAGTCTATAGTCTAGTCTATAGTCTAGTCTATAGTCTAGTCTATAGTCTAGTCTATAGTCTAGTCTATAGTCTAGTCTATAGTCTAGTCTATAGTCTAGTCTATAGTCTAGTCTATAGTCTAGTCTATAGTCTAGTCTATAGTCTAGTCTATAGTCTAGTCTATAGTCTAGTCTATAGTCTAGTCTATAGTCTAGTCTATAGTCTAGTC